AGGCCATCCTCTGTAATAGATATAAATACATGCAATGCAAAGATATTAAATAATTACACAGAGTCTTGTGTTCATTTCTCAGACCAGAAAAAAACAAAATACTCATGGATTTACATTTAGGCCAAAAGAACATACTGATTTTTTTTAGTGTTTGGACAGTATATGAATCTTGTTTTAATTAATAAACATCATTTTATTTCATATAAAAAGTCTTCAATGTTTCCGTTGCCACTAAGACATAATAGATGTGATTAACTGACAACAAACTGTTTATAGATGTGCTACAATTTCTGTTCCCCAATCTCCTTGCCCTCGAATTTCCCCAACCATGTAACCCACCGATTCCCTCTATATCAGTGCAATGTCTACCTTCCTTTTAGTTCATCAAAAAGGCTGTCCTTTGTTGCTCCATTTCTCACTGTTTGGCTTTTCCACTGAATGCTTAGAAAGAATATACGTTCCAGCTGAGATATAATCAAGTCAATACCGCTATTTAATTTTTTATGAAAATGGATTGAGTCTTCTCAACTGAATTTTAACACTCTCAGGAAAGAGCTATATCTGAAATACTTATTTATTTACTCAAAATCCAGTACAGTAAACTTCCCATAAATGAACATTAGTCTTACCATGTGTTAGCCTCATTGGATTGTATTTTGCTGGTTTGGTGCAACATTCTAGTACATACAAACAATTTTTAGTATTGATTTTGTAATCTTTCATAATAGCTGTCGAGCTCAGTGCTATCAGACAAACTGAAGCACATGAACTGTGTAACTTCAATCAAGTCCCTAATAAAACAGTAAATAGGGCAAGGTCAAAAGAAAAGCCCTGGGATGTTATGTAAGACCTCTGAAAGCTGACAAGTTACACCCAATCATTTAGGTGTAGCTCCTCACTGAGTCAATAAGTAAGAAAGGAACACAGTCAGTGGAATACTAAGAAAGATCAAACGCTTTACCAGTATATATCTAAATCTATGAAATTCACCTTCCTTCAAAGAGTAAAATAAATTCATCATGACCGTTTCTTGGTTACCCAACTGTTGCTTCAACTGACTACTGCCTTCTTATTTAAATGTTCGTAATGCTTAAAGATCTGAGTATAATTTATTTTTCAATCTCCAGAATGTTTCTACTTACTACAGACTTCCAGGATCAAGCTGCTTCTCCCAGACTTCTCAAAAAATAATGCCTCTGACAGCACATCTCTCAGTTTCTCCAGCTCCCTGAAACAGTATCTTCTAGAGCATCCAGAAGGCACACAGCCATGCCAACTCCTTGATCTTAGCACAGAGAGACCTATTCTGGACTTCTGACCTCCAGAACTACAACATAACAAATCTCGTCTTAAATCAAGTATGTGGTAAATTTTTAGAGCAGCAATAGGAAACTAATACAGTCCATCATTTAAAAAAAAAAAATCTAGGCCCCAAATCCAGTTTCTTTCTTTCCGCCAGGGTCCTGTGTTCATGATCCAGATTCTTGGTCTGTTTTGGATTACATTCACAGGCAATCCTTTTATGTTTTCTGGAACCGTGATGCCAAGTTCTAAATTTTTTTAAAGAATTATTTATTTATTGTAAAGACAGGGTTGAAAGAGAGAGAGAGAGAAGAAAGAGAGAAAGAGAGAAAGAGAGAGAGAGAGAGAGAGAGAGAGGGAGAGAAAGAGAAAATCTTCCATCCAATGATTCTATTCCCAAATGGCTGCCACTGCCCAGGATAGTCCAGGCCAAAGCCAGAAGCCCAGAACTCCATCCAGATTCCCCACTTGGGTGGCAGGGACTCAAGTACTTGAGACATCTTCACTGTTTTCTCAGGTGCGTGAGCAGGGAGCTGGATCAGAAGAGGAGCAGCTGGGACCAGAACTGGCACTCATATGGGATGCTGGCAATGCACCACCCCCTCCCAGAAGCTCTAATTTGTTCATTCCCAAAGACTCGCCTTTATATCCTATTTCCTCACCTACTCCCTGATTCTACCTCATGTGCTCCCGTATCTCCTAAATCCTCCTTAGGCCTGGATTGTTGTTTACAGTCTGTCTACCATGCCGTTTTATGAGATTCTCAGTTTCTTTATTTCTTCTGAATCCATAACCATCACCCTAATGTTTACAAATTACTCAATATCAAATCAAAATAAACTGGGATAATTATGGTAGTAATAGGCTTTGTAAATCAACAAAGGAAAATCAACAACATTAAACACAAAGTTTTAAAAATATTATAAACTATCTGTTTTAAGTGAATTTCAACTTCCACATTTAAATGAAGTATTAGCTAAACTTCAAAATATAATTTCAAAAATTCTTAGAGCACAAAGGTACCATAAAATTGGATTATATTAAAAAGTCAGTGTTGATATCAAAAAGGGAAATGAGTTGGGAGGGCAAATCCTAAAAAATGAAAGACAAATAACTTGGAAAATGATTCCTACTTTCAAATGAGCCTACAAACACTATTGATAACAAAGCTTAACAAGGAGAATCATTCCAAATGAATTCATATCCATTTCTGAGAGGACAATTTAGCTGATTATTTAATAGAAAGAACACTGGGAACAGAGGATAAAATAAGTTCAACAAAATTGAACAAATTAAAGTTTCTAAATAATAATTGATAACCTTGAACTTGAACTATTGGTAGGTATGTAAAAATGGTATAGCTATTATGGAAAACAGCATGAAAAGTCCTTAAAAATTAAAAATAGAATTATCATATGAACTATCAATCTCACTTTTATGTATGTGTGTATGTATATATACATATATAATTCAAAATAGGATTACAAAGACATATTTACACACTTATGTTCACTGCAGCATTATTTACAAGGCAAAGACTCCAAAATGCTGAAGGAGTAGATAAACAAGACATGGTGTTTGTGTGTGTGTGTGTGTGTGTGTGTGTGTGAGAGCGAGAGCGAGAGAGAGATGGAATACTATGCAACTTTAAAAAGGGAGAAAATCCATCACATGCTACATGGATGAGCATCAAAGATATACGATGCTGAGCTGGTATTGTGGCACAGTGGGTTAAGCCACCACTTGCAATGCTGACAGCACATATCAGAGTGTTGGTTTGAGTCCAGACTGCTTCACTTCCTATCCAGCTTCCTGCTAATGTGACTAGGCAGCAGATAACCAAAGTACTTGGGCCCCTGCCACCCATGTGGGAGACCAGGATGGAGTTCCTGGCTCCTGGCTTTGGCCTGTCCCACCCTCTCAACCTCTCTTCCTTTCTCTCTCCTTCTCGCAATCTGTGATACTCTGCTTTTCAAAGTATTTAAAAGAAAAAAAAAAAAGAGAGAGAGAGAGATGATAATAAGTTAAATAAACCAGTCACAAAAGGACAAATACTGTATGATTCCACTCACATTAAGTATCTAGAAGAGCCAAAACCATAGAAACAGAAAGTAGAAAGGTGTCAAATATTAGGGGAAACAGGATTCAGTGTTTAATGAGTTTTCCTAGATGAACAAGCTCCAAAGTTCTACTGCACTGTGGGGAGCAACTGGGAGCAACTCGGACTAGACTAAGTTACTGGAATTAAGACTTATTCTATGCTTCTGCTCTCCCACAATATGGCGCTGGGAGAGAAGAAAACAGTTTCTACACAGCTGCCTCCAGTTCAGCCAATAAACTGTAGGACCTGCTCCTGATTGGAGGAGAGCAGCGTACTCGGCGTGTGGGCAGCCGAGCACGGATTGGCGGAGGAGGACTATAAAGGAGGAGAGAGACGGCATGCACCAGGAACATCTAAGGGGAACATCTAAGGGGAACACCTGTGCAGCCCCCGAGAGAGCCGGCCGGCGGTGTGCTGCTCCCCTGCGGAAGTGGGGAAAGCGGCCAGGGGGAACCGCCCTTCCACGGAGGTGGAAGGGATGGTAGCCAACCCGGGAAGAACCAGCAGCAAACCCGGGGAGGGCCGAGCAGACAAAAGAACAGCGCAGGGTTTAGTGTCGTTCCTCCACGAAGAGGGGGAGCGACACTGCACAACTCATGTGAATAAAGTTAACCCTACTGAGTTGTGCACTTAAAAATGGTAAAGGTGGCAATTTAATGTTATGTGCCTTTTTGCAGATATTTCTCTCCTCTCTTTCTTGCTATCTCTCTGACACTCTGCCTTGCAAATAAATAAATAAATCTTTTAAAAATAGGGCAGGGAGAGTGATGTAAAAAAATGTAGAGCAGGGTAAAAGGGGAGAGAGAGTGGGTTGAGTGACTATTTTAAAAGAGGGGGTTAAAAGACTTGCATATAAATGTTTCTTTTTTTAAAAAAAGATTTGTTTTATTTATATAAAAAGCAGAGTTACAGAGAGAGAAAGGGAGAGAGACAGAGAGAGAGTATTCCAGGAGCCAGGAGCTTCTTTTGGGTCTCCCAAGTGGGTGCAGGGGCCCAAGCACTTGACCCATCCTCTGTTGCTTTCCCAAACCATCAACAGGGAGCTGTACTAGAAGTGGATCACCTGGGACTCAAACCAGCCCCATATGGGATGCTGGCGCCACAGGTGGCTCATGGCCTGGGAAAAGCAGTGGACGATGGACCAAGTATTTGAGCCCCTGTCCAAGTGGGAGACCCAGACAAAGCTCCTGGCTTCAGCCTAGCTCAGCCCTGGCTATTATAGCCATCCAGGGAGTGAACCAGTGGATGGAATCTCTCTCTCTCTCTCTCTCTGTAATTCTATCAAATAAGTAAGTATATATATGAATATATCATCTGCTGCTGCTTTCCCAGACCCATTAGCAGAGAGCTGGATTAGAAGTAGAGCAGCTGGGACTTGAAATAGTCCTCATATGGGATACCAAAATTGGTAGGAGCCAGGACACGAACCAGGATGCTGGCATTGCAGGTGGTAGCTTTACCCACTATACTACCATGCCAGCCCCACTATGCTCATTTAAAGAAATGACCAGGGTTTACTACATATGGACATCTAAAATGATTATGTAACTTAATACCAGATAGAGATACTTTTATTCCCAGTATCTAAAAACCTTACCCAGTTGTTTTTTTTCCCAGCATAAATTTCCATGTTCTCTCCATATTGTGGTTCTTCCAGTAATGTCTGGTATTCAAACATAAGGCGAGAGCTCTCTCGGAGGCGGCTGCATTGAAACTGGTGATACTGTTGCACAAGTTCTTTCACCACCAATAAGAGACATTCAGGATTTGAAGGATTCCAGGAGGCAAGGTTCTGCAAAAGTCATAAATGAAACATCACTTTATAAGGAATCTTCATACAAATCCAATGGCACATTCACCCATACATATAAAGAACAATGATACAAATCTAAAGTGAACAGACTATACCTAACTAGCCATGAACCCAGAGATGAAGTTAGAAGAGTCTTCTGATCTTGGTGATTTCTCCTGCCTTCTAAAATTCCTCGCAGAAAATTCAAGGAGGAATTCATGAATAAGCAGAAACAGTTAAGTGTAAAGCAAGGTAGTAACAAAATAAGAAACCTAAATATTCTAGAAGACCATAATTTTAGCCCTGGAAGACTTAATTTGTTTCTTATTCTTTTACAACTTTAATTTTTTCAATCTGTATATAAATTCAGCATTATCTGTGAAAGTAATTCAACTAAGTTTCCCAAACCATCTGCATCTGTATTACCAGATATAAATAGATGCTCCACAACACTGAAGCCTCACAGAACTACAGGCACAGTGATGACAACTAGGCCTGAAAAAAAGACAAGAATGGAGTAGAGATGAGGGAAAATACAATTAGGAAATGCAAGGTTCAGATAAAAGGAGGAAGGAAGTAACCATGAAGTCTAATGAGCAGGAAAGCTTTTAGGACTAAGGAATAAAAGTTAGTAAGCTCACATTCCTTCATTCAACAAATATGTACCCATGCCTACTGCACCCCAGCCAATGCGCTAAGCAGTGGGGGGGGGGGGGGGGGGGGGTGGAGCCTTTGCTTTCAAGAGCTTAGATTTTAATGGATCAAAATAAACAACAAAAAAAATTAAATATATCAGATGAGATAAATGCTGCTAAGAAAAATATAGTAGCACACCCCACCCCCCCCCATCTGCAGCTTTACATTTTGAAGTTTTGGTTGCCCTAGTGTCAATCATTGAGAAATGTTAGCAATAAGGAATTAGAAGAACGTGTTGAGCCATCCACAGAGTAAGAGGAAGAAAAAGAAGAAACTGAAGCAGAATCTACAAAGTGGTATCACTAAAATTTGCCAGTGTTTCAAATTACACAGAAATTTAAGAACAAAATTATAGAATATAATCCTCAAAATCCTCAATTGAATGCAGCATTCAAGTCACCTGAACGATCACTAAAGGATTCCAACCTCTGCAGCAATACTTCAATGGGTTAAAAAGAAAGAGACCACAACCTCCAATTGCAATGGTCTTCCAAAAAGTTTCAGCAAAAAAAAAAAAAAAACGTAAACTTGAGGATCTCCAAACACCAACATTGTCTGTTCCTGACATCAAACCACTGATACCATTATGACTCCATGGTCAAGGGTCAAAGTTGGCTGATCCTCCTCTGAGAGTGCTTACTCGGATTAAATGACAATGAAGAAAACATTAAGTGCTCCTTATTGATAGGAAGGATACTTCTTACGGGATGTTCAAATGAAGATAAGAGAGAAAAGGTAAGCACTTCAACAACATACAATGAATGAAGTAAGTTCCTTGATATGAAAATGATCTGAAGGAAAGAGTACCAAGTCCTCCCTGGCAAATCTCTCCACCTCAAAAGCCTGAAATTCCTTTTAAGCTACTCAAGAACATATTCAAAGTATCAAGAGAGTATAACAACATAGACAGAACTTTAAAAAATTATTACATAGCTTGTAATGCATTTCCTTTAGAGATCATCAATAAATATTATAAATAGGTAAAATATACAATATTCCATTTCTTGATTTCTAGTCCTTTTGCCAGTACTTGAACAAAAACAAAAAGCTTTCAGATGCCTCAATTTTTAATTTTACCGTTTCTCTTTAGCTTCTTGGCAAGCTATAAGCCTATAACCACACATTAAAAAAATAAATTCTGAAACTATGTAAGTTGGCAAACATCTTTTACCAATATGAATTCATTTCAAGTCATTCAGCCTAATTGTTAAATGCATAGTAAAGATGTGCCACCCAGCCCTTTTCCATTAGATTAAAATCTCTCAAAACACTGCAATGCATTTGACCTTCTTGGCCATTCAATGCACACTTAACTGGAAAACACCCGCATCAGGGGAGGTTTAGAAATGCTACACAAGACAAAAATTCCTCTAGTACCGCTACATGAACGTTTCAACTCATTAGGTAATTTGTGATTTGAACCACTTTGTCTAGAAGGGAGGGGTACAGAAAATATGCAAGGCTTAAAACAGGTTACTCCCTAAGACAAGGGCATTGCTTGAAAAACCAATGGATGTTTGAACTTTCCACCATCTTGAATAGGAGATACATGAAAACGTCCAAAGCTCCTTCAGAGAAAGGCGATGGGGCAGAAGGCATAAATTAGTGAGCCTCTTTATAAAGGAGGGAAAACTAAGTCTCTTTCTCTCTACTCAAAAAGTTCTTATCCTTCTTAACTTTGGTACTACATGAAGAAAGAAATCTGAAATGAGGATAAACAAAAAGAGTAGGCATAGGGCCTATAACATAATACCACAGAGAATAGAAATGGGGTTCTATAAAGAGGAGTGAATGCTCCAATGTAAGAAGTAGTCCGTACAGCAGACTCATAGAATGGCAACTGCTGTAAGTTACACTCAGTGACCTCAGAGTCAGCCCTAAAGGCATTCTGGTCTGGCTGAAAAGCCTAAGAGAGCATTTCACACCTGGAAAGCCAGGATACTCATGCAAAAAGTGTCCCTACATGGAGGACTTCCATGGGTGAGACTCCAGTGGAAAAGAAGTAGTCATCAAAGAAGGATGTATTTTTTCTTCGAAGCGAGGAAAGAACTTCCACTTTGCTTATGGCCTTGTCTGAATTGTTATATCTTAATGTTAGCCGTCGCAAAGCACACCAGACACCGGAGTAAGGGAAAGGGTTTATCGGGGAACAACCTACAGACCGGAGTGAAGGGGCGGCGAAGGAAAAAAAAGGGAGAAAGAGAATATAAGAGAGAAACAGAGAGGAGAGGAGCTAGCAAGGAGAGAGGATAGAGCAGAGCAGAGGAGAGAGGAGAGCAGAGCCAAGAGACCAGAGGAGGAGGCTAGAGAGAGGAACCGACAGAGAGCAGGATGGAAGGGCCAAGAGAGAAGAGCCAAGAGCCAAGAGACCAGAGGGGGAGGCTGGAGAGAGGAACCGAGAGAGAGCAGGAGAGAAGGACCAAGAGAGCATGTGTTCAGGGACAGGCCCTTTTAAAACTTTGCGGGAGGGCGGGCAGGGAAGCAGGAGCAGCCAATCCCATTAGGATGGGGGTGGAGCCTGGCTCAGGTAGCTGGGCCATGCGGCCAACTGCGCTAGTTTCCTAACATGAATAATGATGGAGTTTGTGTACTCAAAAGGCTTCTATAGCCTAGGCGGCTCATGTCAAGAGCCTCGGGTGATCACTGACGTCATATCTAAGAGTGTTGATTGTTAAATTAACAACCGGAGTCACTGTGTACTAACTTCCCATGCAGGACCTCTGTCCTCAAAGAGCTACAATATTAGCATTAATGATCAAACTTGTTAGCAAAGATTTACCTTGTTCTGGTTTGTTATATTCTTACACATCGTAAGTTCTAGTTATGTCTAAGTGTCAAACTCCATTGCCTGTATTCTCAGGTGTTTCTTTAGAGTTTATTAAGCGTCTCAAACATGAACTCTTGGATACATGTCTCTGATATTCCTACCTCATATGCTTTAACATAATGTCAAATACAGAGTACAGAATGGTTAAAGGCCTCAGGATTACTGAGGCAGTTGTTTCAATGCATCTTATTGTGTGCTACACCTTTGCCTAAGGGATACTTTCTTCTGCATCCCACTAAACTCAAAACCTGGGATAGTGAAGATATAAAACTTCCCAAACAAAGCTCAGGTTTCTACACTAGAGGCAGATTACCTGGGATATGTTCTAACTCCAAAAAGTGTGTTCTCTCAGTCAAGAGAAAGGAAGCTATTCTATACTTAAAAGACAGCTAGCTAAGGATATTTCTGGGAACAGCAATATTCTGTGGAATTTGGATTCCAAGCTTTCATATGGAACTTTAAAAGGCCCTGATACGGACATTGGGCTGGAAAAGGTAGCCACAAAAGGTGTTCCAAAGAATTAAGGAGCTTTTAACAGAAGCTCCAACATTGGGAATTGCTGATGGCAGGATTCTATGGAATGCGGATTCCAGGCCTTGGAGTCTAAGCCTTTGTATGTGCTTTAAAAGGCTCTGATATAGACACACTGTGATGGACAGGGGAGCCACAACAGGTGTTCCAAGGAATTAAAGAGTATTTAACAGAAGCTCCAACAGTAGAAATTCCTGAGCAAGCCATTCATAGAAGATCCTCTTCAAATCATAAATTAGCTTAAATGGAAGGGACTTTACCAGGTGCTACTGGAACATGACTACCTCAGTGAAATTAGGATTAAACTTCTACCTCTCAAGTCTTCACAGGTGAACTCCAAAGACACGTTATGATTTTTCTGTAAGCCAATCAGAGATCTTAAGCAAAAAGATAAGTAAAACCTTTACTTTCATCGCTTCAAAACTGCTACACCTTAAGGCAGACATGCTGTACCTGCCTCTTCTTTTGAAGAAGTTTCTCTCTGGAAACTGCTACTGATAATAAAACTCCTAATGGGCTCTTCTATTACAATTTTCTATGTTCAAGCTAAATGGATTTTAAAATCTACATAAGGGTAACCTTTCCACCTTAAGGGGCACACCATTCACTATTGGTTTTGCTCCAATTTTGCTTATGCTAATTAACAAACATGTTTCAGAACTCAATAACTTCTGGGAATAACTGACCATTACAGGGGACACAGCCATTGGCGCTGAGACTGCTCCAATTCCTAAAGTGAATCTGTTTAATAAGATAGGTGGAGACTTCCAGACCCAGGAAAGGCAGGGCCTGCACTATGCCCCTCATAAGCAGGAAACAGCTACAGAAGATATGATGATTCTACGCCCTTCAATAGCCCTTAGGATTAAGGGCTAGAAAGTCTTTGAAGGAGGAATGATGGAGGCAGGTAGATGGGTGAGCTGGAAGACCATGCCCTCACCATGCC